GTTGTGCGTGGTGTGCGGGAGACTGTTGTCTTTAAACATTACTGTACTCGATAAGGGTGGGGGCTGATGAAAAGGGAAAACACAGTTACTGGCAAATGCTCGGTCCTTGTGTTAGCCGGCCCCCCACGGCAGGCCCCAACCCCCTGCACCCTAAACTCTCGGGCAAAGGGGCAAATATGCCCGTTACCTCTCTCCACAAAGAGAGGTAGAGGTAACCTTCCTTCACCGAAGAGAGGTAGAACTAAGCTATATTCTTTTACTGACCAGAAAACAGGTCCGGCGTCCCTCACATTTACGCCGCAGCCCTTTAAAAAAAAAAAAAAAAGGCGGGCCCGCCGCAGCCCTATGGAGCTGAGCAAGGCACTGTGTGAGCTGTTTCCAACAACTGTTGACTTTTTTTTTTTTACTGTTGACTGTTTGTGCTCGGAGCCACTGCTGCGTTGGCGCTTTCTGCTAAGCTAAATTCTTCTCTTACCTCACCCTTCAGAACCAAGTGCCTCTACTCGTAACGCTATACACGCACGGGAACCCTGCCCTCATAGCTACCTCCCCAATGAAGGGATCGCATGTTGACCCTTTGCTCCAGTGGTTTAGGGTGCAGGGTTGGAGTCCCCGGTTGGGAATCGTCAGCTAACGCAGGGTCTGAACGGTGCTTGGATTGTGCGTAATGAGTACGCAACGCAGCTTGCAGTGCCACCCTTTATTTTGACCAGCATTTTATTTTATTATCAATAGTTGCCGCTCAATCTTCACAGGATCTTAAGCCGGACATCTTCTTGTTTCCGCCTCGTTTTTCATTACTAGACGTGACGATTACAAATCCGGACAGCGTCGTGTTTCCGCCTACCTACCGGTAGTCTTTCGTTTTTTTTCAGAAGAGAGAACTGCCAGCCTTGGAATCTATCTGGTGGAAAAGAAACGAACTTCTCTTCAAGGGGGAAGACCACCATCAGCAACAAATATTCCACAGAGTCCTCTCCGAAGTACGCTTGGTTATCCGCGCAGATTGGCGCTCAAAGGGAATGCTCTGGTTCAGCAAGACTTGGGCAAAAGACGGCAAATTCGCCTCCATATCCCAAGAGGGCAAATTGGTTATATGTAACCAAGATATGATTGCACAACACGTTTTGGAGGAGGGACACTGGACTGATTTCCAGTAATTTGTTTCGATTGTTCCTTTCCTTTATTCCTAGTTGGTTTTTATTGTCCAGTTGCTAAAATTCTTTGCAGAATGAGCTGCATTTTTGGGACGCTGGACCCGGTTTCCAGCACAGCCTAAGGGCCTCGCTGCACCACTCTCGAGATGTGCAAAACGAGAGTGAATCTTCCGCTAGAACATGGAAAGATACAGCGACATGATTTTTGTCTTTTGTGCATTTCAAGAGTAGTGCAGCGACGCCCCAAGCTGGGTAAAGGCCCCAGTTTTTCATCCGGGTTGAGATGTAGAGGTTTTCCCGGCTTCACCTTTTCATTATTCAATGAAATGCAACTCTTCTTTAATAAAAAAAAAAAAAAAAAAACCGGCAGCCATAAATTGCGGCAAGCTGCTTCATTGTGCTCGACCCACGGTAGTCTTTAGTAAAAGTCAAAAGAATACTATGTCACTTGCGCCGGGCACATCTCCCTCTTCTTCTCTTTTTCTTTTTTTTTGTAAAAATTCGGACAATTTCTCGATTTTAACGGATTGCCCGAAGAACATCTACGGTATCCATGGGGACTATTCCACGTTTTGCCGTGGGTATAAAGTCTCCCTTTCAAAAATCCCCCAAATACAACGTACTCATATTTCAGGTTGGTCCACCTTCTTCCCGCAGTGTGCCTACATTTTACGAGCAGGTTGGTCCACCTTCCCCCGAATACAACGTACTGTCATTATAGCTGTATTTGGGGTATCTTTCGGGGGACCAAGGTAGTGATTCCGAATACCACCTCGTATTTTATTCTTGAACAAAACGACATCATGTTCATTTTCGCTGTCCGGCATGACAGCGGACGTGGAAAGAATGCACAGCTCGCAGAGTCCGAAAAGTCGGTTTCCCTCGGCAATTAGGATTCGGACAGGGCTTTAATTTTAAGATTATCAGTCTGAGAGAGAGAGGGGGGGGGAGGGGAGGATTCCGACAGGGCTAGCAATTGCTCTGGGTTTGATCAATCCACTCGCTGTGTGCTCTACCGCCAACTTTTTCAGACGTGCTATTACTGTATTACGAAGAAAATATACAATGGGCAATCATCACGCGCGAGCGGGCAAACGGTAGAGTGCATTTTATCCCCGGGGTAAGAGTCAAACACGTCAACCTACAGGGCTAGCTCCTGTTTCACACCAAACAGGAGCTGCCCTCGGCAGGTGGCCAGCCCATGATGGCCTACCAGGCTATGCCTGCCTTCGCTACTCAACCAGTTGGCCGATGACCCCCGAATTGACGCATATCCTACCTCACAAGGTAGGATGCAAACCCTCTGCCGCTTAGGCACGACTTAGTCCCACAGCGCTGGCGGCTTCGAGGTACAAGGAAAATTTTGATGATCACATCCTGTACACCGTGCCCGCACATGCGACACAGCCCCTTATCTTAGTCGTTTAAACCCCTAGTCATTGTCTCAATTTTAAATAGAATAAACGGCCACATGTTTGCGGCCTCGCCAAACACGGAAAAATTGGTCGGTCCTACCGCCGACCCTCACTATCACTTGCACACGTCGCCGACGTTCAAACTTAGGTAGGAAGAACATTTTTGCCTTTCGATCGCAGGTCTGGTCTGAATAGTCTTTGGCAAGTACCCCAATCTCATCAAGTCAAATCATTCAAACAATATTTTTTCTATAGTCAGACAGTGCCCGACATTGAAAATCCCGAGCACCTACCCTTGTAAGGGTTTCTGCTCCGACACCATCAACGACAACGACATGTTATCTTGAAAGCCAATTCTTCGCTGCACTAGTTTTGCTTGGGACCCTCTATGGAAAAGGGTGATACGACCTGTGGAGTTTCCTCCAGCAAACGCCTCTTTGAAACTATATTGTTAGAGTGGTTTTGTTATAAAACACGGTCTCAGTACATTCTTTTTCTTTCCCTTTTTTGTTTTCCTCACTACGTTCATGATGAGTTGTGTTTTTTGTACCTTTTTCTTGCGTTTTTTTTTGGGGGGGCTCGCTCAAGCTTACAAATGCAACAATTACTAGCATAAAAAAATGTTCCCGCTCTGGTCTTGTTACATATTCTACATTTTCTAGCATATGAATGCAGGAATGTGCAGATGCCCAAGTGCATGCTCTGCACATGGACATGCAGAGGCCCAGGTACATTCCAACCAAGCTACTTTGCCCTGGCTTCTTTACTCCCTTTTCTTTTTTTGTTTCGCGCTATTGGTGCACTGCACACACACAAGGACAACAGGACAACCATTTGTCAGTTTATGCACGTCATCCTTGCGCAGCGGCCATGCTAATCTTCCTCTGTATCATTCCAATTTTAACGGATGTCCCGAAGGACTACAAAAAGGCATACCAAATTTGATACAAGGACAAATTCCCAAAAATCTAAGTTACAGACACAACACGGTCTCCAAAGACAGATGGAGAAGTACAAGGTAAGGACAGAAACCGGAGACATCACCTTGATGCTTCATTGGATATAAGGACGCAGACCTTTGTCGGCGCAGAGAATTTTTGGACATATCGCGACCAAGAGAACATCGGGACGGTACGAGTGATCAACAGCGACGAGCATACGATGATACGAGGAGACTGCAGGGACTAGGGTTCAGCCGGACAGAAGTATTTGGACCGAGGGTATATATACTGTTGATAGAAGCTGAAATGATTACCTGCGCAGAGAGGTAGAAGGGTAATCGCAACAGTATCTGTCGCACGTATTGTCCAATATTGCAAGTCTCTCTCTCTCTCTCTCTCTCTCTCTCTCTCTCTCTCTCTCTCTCTCTCTCTCTCTCTCTCTCTCTC